CTCTCTCTCTCTCTCTCTCTCTCTCTCTCTCTTTCTGTCTCTCTCTCACACACACACACCAAACACACGAACAAACACACACAGACACTCACACACACACACACACATACACACACACATACACACACACACATACACACACACACATACACACACACCCACACACACACAGACATCCAGAATGATTTGTTGCGTGTGCTCTTCAACATAACCTCCTGTTGGGGAGAACCAAGGCAACTCATGCTACATCACCACCGTAATGACTACAGACAGACGCACCAGGGTACAGGTACTCACTTCAAACAGTTACACGGACTGATATATCATTTCTCGACATTGTTGAATCCAATTACCCTGCGCCACCACTTCCCTTTCAATCGTCCCCTCCCACCTCTCCCCTTCCTCCCTCTCCCCCGAGGTAGAAAGAAAATTACTAATACTTCTCTACCTATACTTATAATGATGTCAAGAAAAGGTGGAATCAGGTGCGTATCAGTTGGCGGCAACATTGAGTTGTTTATACCATCTTAAAGTTTTTTGCCCCCTCTCCCTTGATTTTAATGAACAAGAATTACCCGTCTAATGCGAATTGAAGTCCGGATATTTTATTTTGATATTGAAGATGAGAGTCGCTGCTGGGTGTCAGAAGGAAATACATAACGAGAAAATGACCGCAGAAATTCTGTGTGAACTTGAGTCTCCTTGAAAACTGCAAATTTACTTTTCTGTGCCTTTGGTCAATACTTTTCAGTAAATTTCACACAAAGTATCTTAAATGCACACAAAAGTGTTGAAGACCCCCCCCCCCCCCCCACAACCCCCTTTTTCCCAAGAAAAATAAAAGAATAAAAGTCGTTAAAAATTAACTTAAAGTTGGAAACGCAACGGTTTCTTCGAATTCATTTTTTTTCATACAAGCGCTTGACTTCCCCGTGATGCCACACAACATTTCATTATGTATATACTAGCCGACATGAACACGAAAGAACGCTATGACTTTTTTCCTCATTCAAATGTTCTCAAACGCCACTAGAAAACTAATTAGGGAGAAAAAGTGCAGGGCTGCAGAGATGTTTATTATCTGTACTAAAAACAGTGAAATCTTAGTACATGTATCTGTTTTACCCAATGACGCAAAGATGAATTTCGAGGACTTTCGAGGAATTTTTTTTTCTTTTTTGGGGGGGGGGGGGGTGAGGAAATACATTTTGGGAAAAAAATATCTTGGACCTGCCTGTCTACATTCAAGGATCAGAATGCAACAAATCCAGAAAACATTTTTTCAAAATTTCATTCGATAAATCCCAAACGGTCACTTTGTCATTTTGATAATTTGTGAATGTCCTCCCCACTGCCGAGGCTCCATGACTCTCTCTCCTCCAATCTCTGCTTCCCGCACGCCACAGACGATCTCGGAAGGCGACCCAACCAAAGAGGGTGAGGCATGTCTAACAGTCGGTTCTCTCTGTCTCTGCCCACAGCCGCTGGCATGAACCTGGGTGTTCTGGTAGCCATGGATGTGTGGGCCCCCACCACCGACTCCCTGGTCCCTTTCTTCGCCATCATGGGCCTGTGGGGCGCTAGTGATGGGATCTGGGTCAGCCAGAGCAACAGTGAGTCTTTGATTCTTTGTTCGTGTGCTTGGTTGTTTTTTTTTGGGGG